TTAAACGTTATTAGTGTGACTCTGAGTGGTGGGGTCATGGGTAATCATTTTCTTCTGTGTATGTGTGTGCATATTTTTCAACATTTTCTCTAATGAACAAGTTATAATTTTGTAAACAGAAAGATGAAGCACCCATTGGTAAATATTACTTTTCTGTTTTCAGAAGACGACTCTTGGGAATTTGGAAGCTGAGATTTGGAGCAAGTATTTAGGATTTCCCTCTAACCTCCCTGCCGTGACAGTCCTTAATTGACAGATGATGGAGAACATCTTGCTGGGCAAAGTGGCAGGCTGAGTGGCAGAAGCCATGCGGTCACTAGCTGCTGGAGAGGGGTCAGGAAGCTTAATCAATGTGGGACACACGACCTGCTTCGTGGTGGAGGAGGCCGATGCATCCCTCTTTGCTGACATCGTGTGGCTAGGAACAGAGGCACTTAGCTGTATAAACACAGGGCTTGCGCAGCAACACCCTAAGTGATTAGCTGATAGACCAAGAATTAAATACAGACCCAGAGACTGGAGTAGGATGACTCCCCGAAGAGCATCCTGTCCCGCTCTCCACACGTGCAGGAGTTTTCATTGTGACTGAAAGTCTGTGCTGCTCTCCATGCGGTCAGCCTAGGTTCCATGCTAGCCTGGCAGGAGGGATGGAACCCAACACACCTCCTTCTGCATGTGGGTGTTGCTATCTCAGAGGGTGAGGAAGGTGCATGGAGATATTTTAAATAAACGGATTCCCTTTGAAGGATGTCCTGGATACTGGCACCCAAGACAGGTGCCCATGGGGTTGACGATGTCTGTGCTGGCTAATAGAGTGAATGAAACCCTGAAATGTGCCACCTGGGCACCTGTCCGTGTTACCTCCTCAGTTCAGGTCAACAAACAGAAAGCCATGTTCCAGACCCTGTGCCTATATGGGGTATACCAGCTCCTGAACCCTACTCTGCTCCAATTTCTCCCCTTCCAAGAACACCAGAGTGTTCTTTGCAAGATGCAGGCCTGATCATGACATTCTCTACCTTAAAGCCATCAGTGATTTCCCACTGCCTTTAAGATAAAAGTCATGCAAAGCCCCCCACAACCCCCGAGGCTTGTTTCTCCTGCAGCTCTGTGGTTCTTTCTTCGTCATCTCCTCCTCCTTCCAAACAACTAATTTTCATAAATTTCTTTAACAGCTATTCATGCCTTCTGCCAGAAGCCTTCTTTGGTTTCTTAAGATGTCACTAGATCTCTGACCACATGTAATAGCACCTTATCATGGCCCAAACTCAAAGGTTTTGCTTTGTAATTTATCATCTAGTGGTCTGCTTCTCTTGGATGACTCTTAGTCATCGGATGGCATATCTGTCTTTATCAGTATGTAGTATGATTCATGGCCTATCATAGGTAGTCAGTTTACTGAGCAAGTGATTGAATGAATGATTGAACTTAAAATGAGGCTGACATAGCCGCTCTTTGCATCAAGCTTAAGGGGAGATAGACAGACTTGTGAATGTGTATTAAAGGGATGGTTTTGGAGAGATGTGCATTGAAAGGATAGGTATAGAAGAGAATAGGCAATTGATTAATTCCGTCTGAGAACAGATGATTCTGGGTGATTTTCCTAGAGGAGGAGCCCAGTGAGTAGGTCCAGAGGAATGGCGAGACAGTATTCTCTTGGCATGGCTTGGTATGAAATCCCGGGAGTCAAAACACACGTCCAGCACGAGTGAACTCTGGAATGTGTTGCTGTCATTTCAGACTGAGCTCCTACTGCGTCTGGCCCTGGGCACTAGGAGGCCTTGGTGGGCTCTTGGGTTCTAGCCTCCCCTTCTTTGCACCTGCCCCCTTGATGGGCTGGTGATCTCTTGAATGGCCCCTGGCAGTCAGGCCTGAGGATGCAGCTGAACTGGAGCAGCGGGGAAGGGAGGGGCAGGCTCGCCTTGTCCACCGGCAGCACCATATGCTCACACCTTAGTCGATTCCAGTCATGTTCCTCAGCTGCCCAGCTGTCACTGCCATAATTACGGCAGCCACAGCCGCGGGAAGTGTGTGGTTATGGAGACCCTCTGGTCTCCTTAGAACTTTACTACTGTTGTTATAGCTTATCGGGACACAGGCTGCCTTCTGTCGGTCTCTTGAAAACGGCTGTAATTTCCATCCATCACTGGGGGAGCCAGCTGCTGCAGGGGCAGCTGTCAGGGAGAGAGCTCTGTGTGCTCCCTGACACTCTGGCCCTGACCTTGGGGAGGTGGCAGCTCCAAGCCAAGAGCCTTTCTTGGGACAGCAGTTGGGCCATCTCTTTTTTCTTGACCCGGGGGTGACTGCTTTCTGCTTTGTTTTGTGGCCCTGACCCACCTGTCTTTTGCCTTGTATCTTTCCTGGCCCACGAACTTTCCAAGTGAAGGAACACTTGTGTAGGCTATAGACAATGTTCTGATATTAAAAACTTTGCCTTGAATTTTACAATAACATTCTTTCCCACATTATAAAGGAAACATACAACCATAATTGTCATGAAAATAGATGGTATTTATTGACTGTTTACTATCCAAGCATTATAACTTTACAAGGATTTTCTAATTCATTACTCAAAATAATATCAGAAGTAGACATATGATTTTCACGTAGCAGGTAAGGAACCCTGCTAGGAAAGGTTATATAACCTGTCAGGGGGGCATAGCTAATGAGCGGAAGAGGTAGGATTCAAAACTATGGCCATCTCTTTAGGGTTCAACTGTGTGCCTCATTTTTAGCAATTTAGAAAACAGAAAACTAGAAAAAAAATCACCAATAATTTTACTTTTCAAACACAATTCATTATGATCTTGATATATTTCCATTCATTATTTTTCTATTCATTATTTTTCCATAATTGTGATTATATTGTATAATCAATTTTGTCCTATGCCTTTAAAATTAATATTATTACATAACCATTTTCCATCTTGTGGGTTTACTAGCCTTTACTGTTTCCCTTTTGTTGCTTATTGGATTGCATCCAAGTTTTCCCTAGTTGAACTAACAAAGTGCCATTGGGATGTGTGTGTGTGTGAGATACTATATAGTTAGCCTGTTGTTAAGCTTTGCTCATGCAACATCTAATTTATTCTTGTGGTAACCCTATGAGGTACAGAAATTACTTCTCCATCTTACAGGTAAAGAAACTAAGGTTTAGAACATTAGATAAGTCACCCAAGGTTACGTAGCTGGCTGGGGACAACTGAATCTAAACTATTATCCTTTTGGTGAAGGCCGTGCTTTTTGCCATTAGTCTAGCCTTTGATTATAAGTCTTTTCCCTCCATATTATTATCATTTTTTAAAAAAACTTTTTGGGTATACTCCCATAAGTGGAATTTTGAGGTCAAAGGGGGTAATGGTTTTTATCATGAGTTAGAGGAGCTTACATTCCAATTTCTGCTGTATTTTTCCCTTGCCAGCTTTGAGTCTTCTTCTTGGTAGGGTGATTAGCAGCTCCCGGTTTTTAATGGCTTCTGACAACCCAAGTTCACCCCTTGTCCTTAAGGGAGGGAGGGCTGGAAATACCTGGTGAAGACCCTCACCACTCACACGGTCATAAATGTTGCTCATGTGACAGTTGAAATTGATAACATGTTATTGCTTTATTTGATATGATTGTTCTTGGTATTTCTTCATATTTTCTTGGCCTGTTGTACCTCTTCTTTTGTAACTTGGTTGTTCTATTCTTAGCCCATTTATCCATGATATCTTCATGTTTTTCACAAATGATTTCCTGATGCGGTAAAGTCCCTAAATGAGTCTTTGATAAGTGAAAAAGCACATGGTGCCAATTTCCCACTGTTATTTTTAAAACCTCTGTTTGTAAATTACTGTATTAATTTACTTCTATTTTTCCAAATAAGTGACCCAGAATTTATGTTAACTTCAGGTTTAGTTAATTTATGTGAGGTTCCGCCTTTCAGTTAATCAGTGAGAACTGAGAAAGGTCCCTGAGTTTCAAGGGATTTTGGCATCTGGGTTTCAAAACTCTGGTATCCGTTGGGGTCCTTCCTCTCCCTGGCACCTCATATCCACCAAGTATCCAGTCCTGAGTTCTGTTCTATGGCCTGTTGTCCCTTGAGTTCCTCTTCTCATACCCATCCCAATTTCTCTCTCCCTAGATTGGGGGGGGACACATGAGAAAGGGACAGAAGCCCCTAACTGATATTTTACAGGGGCTGCCAGGAAAGAGGCTATTCTAATCATATCACTAGAAAAACCCTTCACCGTGTTTCTCTTTGTCCAGTGGGACCCATTTACCATAGACATGCACAGCAGGATTTAGGTAGGATTCTATGAGAATATTTTACAGTTATAAATTACTTTTCATGTGTATTAGGAAAGTGTTTACCTAGCATATTAAACTTGTACATGGACAGATGTTGCTATTATATGGCTATGAGTACAAGTGAGACCATGCAAAAATTTAAAGACAACTATTAAGTAGATATTATAATAGGGGACACACGGACTTGGCAAAGATAATGGGATAAGCAATATATAAATGAATAAACAATAGAAGTATAAACAATGTAAATCTATTTATAAATGTTAAACAATGTATAAACAATAAAAGTTTGGGAAAGACCGCTCTACAAGCTACCACCCAAAGTTCATAGCACCCAGAAACCTGTTCCAATCTTGTCCTTGAGTCCCTTCTCTCTCGCTTACATACAGCATTTTAGGCCTAGACATACATATGTATATATGTGTGTATATGTGTATAATATATGTGTAACATATGTGTATATATGTGTCAATACTATATGCAGAATATAGTATACTATAGAATATAGAATACTATATGCAGTAAATATTGATTATGCCTCAGGCTTCTTTTAAGTAGAGCTTGTCTATTTGTGTCCTGGCTCACTTTTTCCCTTGTACTTTCCTTAGTTGTTCAACGTCTTACTTTCTCTTCTAGATAGATTCCTATTTGGAAGCACAACCTGGACTTTCTTCCCCTGGTCAGCTTTAGCCCACAGAATGTTCTTCACTACTTAAAAAGTGTCTTTGCATGGGTGATCTAATTGACTCCTCACAACAGCCACTTGAGGTAAGCATCTCCATTTCGCAGATGAATTAACCAAGGCATTGGTTAACATTAACATTGTCAGGTGCCTTTCAGCTAGTCGTGGCGGGGATTTACCTGAGGAATATGACTTAACAACCATGCCTGCTTGCCCTCTCACACGACACTCCTGCTTCCCACAGAGGCTGGGTGCTTGTATATACTAAGTGCTCAGTAAAGGTTTGGGAGACGAATGAACTATTAACACATTCTTATTTCTATGACTTTTGTTTACTTTGCACATGACGACCCTCCCACAAACTCATTTTTTGACATTTTACATGTCGAGGATTGGGAAGTCTGGGCTTTTACCCAAAGGCTGAAAATATGTTCATTTTATGGTGTCCTTTCTGAGGGGAGCTGGTGTTACTACAGAGCATTGATGTTCTTTTCTTCTCACCAAGTGCTTTTTTGAAAATGGATCGTTGAAGAAAAAAGCATCCACTCAGCATGGCTTGACTGGAGGTGGTGGTGGGAGCAGAATAATGCTTTAAAAGCCGTATTCTGAACTATGGTCTGAAAGTCCCTTGAATGGGTTCAGCTATGTCTTCTGAGATACCCAGGAGCATTTTTTTATACTTATGTGGGAGACAGAACATTGAAAGACTAATCATTTCTGTGAATATCATTACTACTGATAGCTTCCAAACCAACAGAGGCATGCCAAATGCATAGAATCAGTGAATTAGGGCATCCTTTTTTTTCCTAGGCTGCAATGAGGTACTAGGAGGAGCAGAAATCGCTAGATTCTTCTCTAGGACTTGATACTCAATTCTATGAGCTGTTACACAAGAAACTCAACTGGATATGTGGTTGGCCTTATAGAAAGAGGGAAGAGACCACACAGTACCCATCCTAGGCAGTATGTACCCACACAAGCTGGAGGAAGATGACAGGGCATGCCTTCTGAAAGGGTTTGGTCAAGGGAACCAGGCTAGTAGGATTGATAAGGGAGATATTTTTTTTCAATATTTGGTCACTCTCCCCGGCATGGCAAATATACTTCTTCCTTAGAAAGACCCCAGGAGATGCAAAGAGCCACACCTCGCTCTAAGTGAGGCTCAAATACCAGAATTTTCATGGAAAGTGGTGATAGAGCACATTTAAAAATTCAGAGGCTGGCACGCTGAGTGCATGCACCACAACCCTCCAGAGGCTTGTGTTTCATGGGAAGATCCAGAAGGCGCACAATTTCCCAAAGTCATTAGGAATGTGCTAATGGAAAGAACACTTGCATCATAAGTCCAGCGGTGGCACAGCTCAGTGGGCCAGGGATGGCTTCAGGAGAAGCATTACAGAATGAGGCTCATGGATAGCAATGAGCATGTGAGAATCCCCCAAACAGTAGAGGCCAATTGGTGATGCTTGACCACCAGATCCAGTGGATGCAATTATCCTAATGAGTAACCATGGTGGCAGGGCAGTCAGATTGGTCTGTCCTACAGAAAGATATGAAGATGGTCATTAGAACAAGGTAGTCCTTAGAGGCAGCCAACACAGGTACTAGTCAATTAGTACTACTCAGTTTTTCTTGACTTCAAGAGATATCAAGAATAGCTGGTTAGGAGAATCAAGACAATTTCTCCCAATAAAATGACACTGTGCCAATACTGTGCCCAGTTTTTAGACTTGAGCTCTTTTTGGGACCAGGAACCTTTGGACCAAAGAAAAAACCATCTGCCCAGGAGTAAGGACCCTGCAGCACTGTGGCAAGTGTACATGGTTTTTATTCCCCTGTTTTCTGTAAAGAGAACTCTAGCCATATACTTGGGTAACTGCATCCTAGGAAAGGAAATAGCCAAATATTTCAAGGAACATTGGAGACAGAGTTTGAAGTGACATTGATAGTTGGAGGTTTAAAGTGTTGTCATGGCCCTGCTACACAAGTGGAGGTACAATGGGGCTTGGTAATGAATGGAATTCTGGTCAAAGGCCACCCATCCATTGGTTACTTTCTTACTCCGTGAATGTGTAACCAGAATGGATGCACTTGGTAGTAGGTGCAACTCCCATCCTGGGACCTTAGACTGTAGAATAAGAACTGTCAGAGTAGGAAAAGCTGGGGCAAGAACTCTGAAAATACCTTTCACTCATCTGCTACCGAGGAGTCAAAACAGTATTATTCCAGTGGGAAGAAATAATACTGACAGAGACAGGAAATGTTAGTTCTACTCTTAAAGAGCTGAAAAATATTGTAGGGTGGTGGATTACTTAATTCACCAGTTCAACCCAGACAGATCCTGAAAAATAACAGTGACTATCACAGCTGCAACCTTATAGTAACCTGATCACAGCAGCCATGCAACTGAACAGATTAACATGGCCTCAAGTTCATGGGAAGCAGCACTGACTTAGCAAATGTATTCTTTCCCGCACCTATCAAGTTGATCAGAAATAGTTTGCATTCACATCGAGCAGACAATAGTACACATTCATAGTTTTGCCCCAGGGCTCTGCTAACTTTCCTGCCCTCTGTCATAATATGGTCCCAGTCCAAAGTGTCTTCCCCATGTGGATTTCCAGCAGGACATCACAACGACCCATTCCATGGTGAATACACTGATAGGATAAGCAAGATATATCCTGCATGTTTGAGGCCCTGATGAGACACATGCGGTCTAGAGTTTGGGAGATACACCCTATGAAGATTCAGGAGCCTGCTGCACCAGTAAACATGTTTAGGAGTGGTCAAGGAGTGTCACAACATTGCACTCAAATTAAAGAAGAAATGATTGTGTTTTGCCTCTCCCACCATGGAAGAAAGAAGTACAGTGTTTGGTAGGCTCTTTTGATTCTGGAGGCAACAGAGTCTCCCCCTGGGAATCATGCTTTGACTCATGTACCAGGGACACAGAAGCCTCTCAGATCCGAATGGGGCCTAGGAGGAGAGAAGACCCTACCACGGGTCCTGGCTGTAGTGTGAGCAGCCCTGCCATGTTGGGTGTAAAACAACAGCAGACCCAGTGGTACGGGAGGTATATCCCATGGCATTGAAAACATGTCATGTGGAGTTTATGGCATGCTCCAATGAGAGAATTGCTAGGGCTCTGGGTCAAGGCCATGGCATCTGCTGGGGAGAACCATATGTCATTTGAAAACCAACTTCTGATTGTGCTATAGGCCTTGGAAGAGATTAAGCACTTGATTGTGGGGCACTGGGGAATCCTGGGGCCAGATGCCACCATGGGCTCATCTGTCAGACTCTGCAACTCATGATGCTAGTCAGGCCTGGAAACAAGCCATCATAGGGTGGAAATGGTACACCTGGAGTCAAGTATGGCAGGACTGAATAGCAAAGGCGATTTGCCTGAGCAAGTAATCCAGGCCCACATGTGCCATGCTCCACTGTTGTACCTGCACCTGCCTCAGATGGCACCTCTTGCTGTCTAAGGGTTTCTTGGGACCAACTGATGGACATCAAAATCCCTGAGATGAGCTCGTGGAAAAGATTGGAACTCTATGAGGGTGCGGGCTGAAGTGGGTGGCGACTACACTGCAATCCTTCTCAGGGGTGGCTTTGAAAGACAGTGATGAGAAAACACCTTCCCGAAGGGCAAAGCCCACACCATGCGGGTCATCCACTTCCTGTGCTTCCCGACATAAACCAAAGAACAGGTGATCAGAAAACTTCCTGGAACTCAGATGGGTCCTCGGGGGCGTTTGAGGCAGAACCAAGGGAGGGGACGAGGGACTCAAGGAGCACAGGCCACTGGAAGCCATGGGGGCATCTCAAACTCCATCTAGAGAGAAGCAGTTAATGTTGGAGCCGTAAAGATGTAAGCTTTCCCTGAAAGCCAGGCAAGCGCGAAGCATGTCCTCGAGTTTGCCTTTACTTTGTAAATTCTGGTCTGGAGTAGATGTGGCAGCCATATTTCTCTGAGTTTTTTTTTTTCCATCTCCCTTTGTTTAGCCGCAATCCAGGTGTTCTCCTTCTTCTTGGCCACCTCGTTCTCTGCCTGGTGGAGAGGGGGTCTTTGGGGATAATCCCACGTGGAGGGTATTCAGTACAAGGAAATGGCTGTAGACCAGAATGAAATTTACTTGTCCAGTAGAGTTCATTCTGAGGACACAGGGTTCAGGAAGATGAGAAACCCAGATTACAACGGCAAGGGCATAAGGACCCAGGACATGCTGTGAATGCCAAGAGGCACTGGCAGCTAGGTCAATGCCAGGCTAGGCTGGGGCAGGGTGAAGCCAGATAGCCTGGGGGGGGGGGAAGAGTAGAAGAGAGAGGGAGAAAAATGGCAGGGGGCTTTCAAGGAGGTAGGGAGGCGGCTACAGCCCTGACTGGAGACAATGCGCCTGGCGATTGTGTTCTCTGTGTGATGGGTGGGGACCGGGGTCTTTCTAGTTGTAGCTGGGGTCGCCTGCATTGGCACACTCATGCTTTTGTTCTCAGCACCTTGTAAAGAGTAGCTCTTTGAATTGGACCAGCTGGACTGTGCCGGGACTATATTTATGCACGTCCTGAAGGTTCTGAGTTTGAATAATTGACGACCCTTTGCAAGGCAACACCATGGCTTTGGTTCGTAGGAAATTTGCCAGACTGTATCCACCCAACTCGGCTTCGCACTCACCCACCTTGGAAAATCTGCTCTTTCAATTAGCGGTGTGCAGGAATATATCTAGTGGGCATGAATGCAGTTAATAACAGAACTGGTTCAGACTACTGGGCGAGACTTCTCTAAGGGGCTTAAAATATGGAACGTTGCTGCTAAAGACCTTCCCAGATCTTGGCCGTGTGAGGACGGAGATTGGGCTGTGCTCACAATGTGTGGTGATGCATAAATATTAGCCTTAAATAACTGTGAATACCTTGTTTCCTGCAAAGATTAGTGGCTCTTCCCTGTGTGATAAATTGTGTGAGTTACAGTGCAGACCTGTCTTCCCACTGTATTATCCCACAGCCTTTTAAATAACCGAGTCCAAATTATGCTCAGCAAGCTGTGGGGAACGCTTGGGCAAACGTTAGGCGGAGATGTGCA